TTAAGTTTTCACGAGATTAATGGAAAGCAGTACGTGCCGGAAAGAGGCTCCAGGGACAGATTTTATTCCTTTTTTATGCTCAGTTGTACATTTAGTGAAGATAAATAAACAGCTTTCAGTCAAATAGTGAAACTTCCAGCTCGTAGAGCTTCTCGTCTGGGGAAATTAGGAGTTCTGGGCACAAATCAGAAACTTCTGCAGGGCAGGCTTTGAATGCATCAGCGGGGCCGAGGTGACTCACGTTGAGTTACAGGCCGTCTCGTTGCTTTAACTAGCTGCCCAGCTTCGGCACACCGCTGGGTGTCATCTGCTGTCAGCGAGTCAGAACTGCATTATGCTACTGCTTGAATAACAGCTGAAGACGTATTATCACACACACCTTCTATATTTGTGTGTGTGTGTCACAGGAAATGTTGCAGGCAGAGGGACACGGTGAATTCGGTGTCTGATACTGGTCCTGAGTAGAATTAACAAGATGTCAGGGGAGTGTGTGAGCAGAACGGAGGATTGCGTGATGCGTTTTAGCTCTTGCGTGCTGTTCTCAGTGCACGGGGGAGAACGTTGGGAAATGTCGTGGTATCGCCTTTAACGATGTGAGTTTCCACGGTTATGACAGGACTTTAGGTTCAGGACACGAGTGAGCTGCAGTCAGGAACAACGGCTACATTTAGAAAACTGACAGATGCTTCAACAGGAAACGGCTTGTGGTAGAGAAAGTACTCAAACACTGTACTTAAGTAAAAGTACAAATAAACAGACAAAATGTGTTCTAGTAAAAGTAGAAGTACCACATTAATGTTTTAAGTTAAAGTAAGTACTTGCCGAATGTATTACCTAATGCAATGGTCTACAATATCATTAAGTGTGCTTGTATGTATATTTTCTGTAATACATCAATAGTGTTGTGTCATTTTAATGAAAAATGCTGCAGATAATACATGTTTTTATTGTGTTTACTCTGTGACACAGTTCACGCTTGGACTTGTGATTCTGTGCATCAGAATTTCAGCAATGACCTGCAGAGTTAAAGGCCATTAAGCAAAACACGAAAGAGGAATGATTATGCTTTTGAAAGTTTTTACTTAACACAAACCAATGTGTCATTTTAACTGCAGTAAACACATTTAAGTAAAATTGTCTGCCTGAAAAAAGAAGCATTAGACACAAAGGAACAGGCTCTGATCAGTTCCACTCCCGTTGGTCATCAACTCTAGTTAAATACTGTCTAGTCAAACTTCCATCCATCCATTATCTTTACCCACTTATTCCATTTTGGGTCACGGGGGTCGCCGGTGCCCATGTCCAGCAATCACTGTGCGAGGGGCGGGGGACACCCTGGACGGGTCGCAAGTCCATCACAGGGACACAAAGAGACAAACGAGACAAACAACCATTCACTCTCTCACTCACACCTAGGGACAATTTAGAGTTACCAATCAGCCTAACATGCATGTTTTTGGTCTGTGGGAGGAAACCCACGCAGCACGGAGAGAACATGCAAACTCCACCCAGAAAGACCCCTGGACCGGGGTTTGAACCAAGAACCTGCTCGCTGAGAGGCAGCAGCTCTACTAACTGCGCCACCGTGC